GTCACGTTGTGTAGTATATAATTGACCTTTTTTCTAATCTATTATTATGAAGTCTATTTGTTTTTTGGTTCTGTCTTTAGCCGCCATGTAAGAATTTAAAATATATTTTTTCAAGCTTGTGTGAAGATTTCAGTTTAGTTATTTTAATTGTATTTCAGTTTTATTAAACAATTTATTATTTATAATAGCGTGTTTTCTGTGCCAAGGGCCATTATCAGACTCGCGCTATAATTTGGCTACCCAACGTTCGGCTCGAACAATATTTATTGTATATGATGAATATGCCTTTGTAAAGAAACTGACAATAATTGTGATCAACGTTTGTTCTGCGTTTTTTCCGAGTTAAATAAAAACTCGACGCGACGTTTCACAGTAAATATTCAGTTCCAGTGAGGTCAATTCATATTGTGTTCGCACGTTCTATATATGATATTGTACATGAGATAAAAACGCAAATATGGTTTTAACTCGATCGAGATCTGGTGAAAGCGATGATCAGCAAACGTCCCAAGAGAATATCATTACTGAAGGACACGGGACTCCATCATCGCCAGAAGTTTCGCAATCGTCAGTTGCAGGCTCAAGTCATTTCACCACGGCTTCGGTGCAACCACAAGGTACACCGCTGTTAATGACGGACCAACAGTTTAGTATTTTATTGAAATCGTTACAAACTCCACAAACATTCACACACATGCTTTCAAATTTTGCGAATTGTACTGCTCGTTTTGACGGGTCTGGTGATGTAGAACCTTTTATTGATTCTATCACTATTTACAAACAATGTGTCAACATGCAAGATAGTATTGCACTACAAGGACTACCAATGCTACTCATCGGTTTCGCAGCCACTTGGTACCAAGGTATCAAACATACTGTTCACTCATGGCAGGAAGTTCTTGTTATTATGAAACAAATGTTTGGCTCAAGAATCCCACCTCATAAAATTTATCGTAAAATATTTGAAAGAGAACAAGGAGATGAAAATACAGATGTATTTGTGTGTAAAGTACGAGCTCTTTTTGCGCAACTACCCGCATATTCGTTATCTGAGGTAGTACAACTAGATATGTGTTACGGCTTATTACATAGACGAATCAGAGAGAAGGTTAGTAGAAGTTCGTTCAGCACATTTCAAGAATTATTGGAATCCACTCGTCGAGTTGAAGATTTGTTAGAGGAGATACATCCAAAGGCTAAGAGGCCATCTTCTGATGTGTACAGAGTAAACTCTAACAATGATAAAAACTTTTTTCCGACTGATCACACAGTGAATTCTTTCATGCCTACCACACCTTCTCCTTCAATTTCTGATTTAGAAAAGAAATCCCGTCCTTGCTGCGTATATTGTAAACAATATGGTCATAAACGAGATCAGTGCCGTAAACTAGTGAACAAAGAGAATTGCCAGAAAGAATCGCAAAGCGTAGCAAGTCAAAATACCCAAAGTGCTATAGTATGCTTTGGATGTGGAACACCTGGAGTCGTCAGGTCTAACTGCACTACATGTAAAGGCAAGGGGGAGTCGACATCGGTTCCTATTGGTTTCCAAGCTGTGTCAGCATGCAGTACTTTTGTGGATGCTCACCCTCGGCCATTATTGTATATAAGTGTTCATGGTGTTACTGGACGCGTATTAGTTGATACAGGAGCTAAAATATCTATTGCCAGTGAAAGTCTAAAAAATGTGCTTGTTAGTAAGAACCACCCGATGACCGATTCTTTTGTAGAGATGAAATTAGCCGATGGCTCTATTTGTAAACGAAATGTAAAAATGTGTACTGTAGATGTTACTGTATGTAACGTTGTTGTCCCTACTGTATTTATTATATTACCAGGAGCAACTAATACTTTATTAGGAATGAATTTCCTATGTGATGCGGGTATAGTGCTTGACCTAAAATCAAATCAATTTACATTACAATCAAACAAAGATGTGTACTTTCCTATAGAGTTTGAAGGAAGCATAGACGATTTAGACTGTTCTGTTATAGGTCTTTGTGTTGATAAGGGCACTACACTATCTCCTGCAGAACGGCATAAGCTTTCTGAGGTATTGGAAGATAATTACGACATCTTTGCTCAAGGGGGAGTGCCTACCGAATTCACAGTACATCGTATCGATACTGGAGATAGTAAACCAGTTGCTGTACCTCCTTATAGATTAACTCCTGCTAAAAAGGAGATTGTTCCACGTCGTATAGGTCCTTTCAAAATTAATAGGGTAGTATCTGCCAATACTTATGAACTATTAGGTGTTGAAGGCAACTTTAAAGAGAAGTACCATGCCAATCTTCTTACACCTTATATCGGGGACGGCGATGTACAAACACTAAAGAGGAAAGGCAGGCCTCGACTTAAGTCCAAGTCACTCCCGGGGCGGGTTAGTGACTTGGAGGGGGAGGATGAAGCACTACGTCCGTGTTTAACTAGATCTGGGCGGCCAGTCCGTGTACTGTCACGTTATGTATAGTATATAATTCACCTTTTTTCTAATCTATTATTATGAAGTCTATTTGTTTTTGGTTCTGTCTTTAGCCGCCATGTAAGAATTTAAAATATATTTTTTCAAGCTTGTGTAAAGATTACAGTTTAGTTATTTTAATTGCATTTCAGTTTTATTAAACAATTTATTATTTATAATAGCGTGTTTTCTGTGCCAAGGGCCATTATCAGACTCGCGCTATACCTATTGCGATGCCGCAACAACAAGCACGCATTCGCACACTCATACATACTTTATCAGTTTTGCATTCACATTCACAGTGTTGTTTTATATTAAAGAAAATAATAAAATTAAATCTTTGAAGTTGATGTTTACCCATACATACTTTACTCTTCGAGGACACTGGATTTGGATGAAAGAAGTTGCTTTATAGTTCGCTAGTACCTTTGGTCCTACCTATCTCATCAATTGACTGATAGATAGGGACAGAGGCTTGGCGTAGGGATTTCGCCTCGTTTGTTTATTGTATAAAGCTTAAGGCTTAATTGGATCTGAGTGGGAAGACTCTGAGCCGTAGTTTTGTAACAGCATTCCATCATGCATTCTCTCTCATACAGCCCATGAAAATCACTTTCTATCAGAGACTTATTCGATGCTTTCAATAAAAATCAGCTTTGAAATCTCCACCTCCTCGAGTTTGATTTTCACTATTATACGATCTCCTTACACCGAGGGGGATTTTCCACAAAACGGCAATAATGCAGGAATAATGCCATGCGTAGAATTAATTAGTCTATGGTTTAAGGCTCATATACACATAGAGTAAGCATATACACTATCCAATGAGGAACTATTTATAAAAAGTTAGTTTTCGAAAGCAAATAGATGTCACTAGCAATGAGGAAGTATTAAAAAAAAAACTTTAGTTCACTAAATCGAACTAGATGTCGCTACGACACGTTCTTGATTTCTCCATGAAAACTTTTCCGGTTTTCTTTTATGTTTAAAAGTAAATTAGATCTCAAAACTAAATAAACAACTCATATTCTATTTGTACTTTTTCTTATTTGTATTGATGTCTAAGTTTCGGACTTTTCAAATTTCAGTTTTTGAATATCTTAGTTAAAAGGAACGGAAATGAAATGGTCCATTCGTTTCCTGCAAAAATCAACTTTTGCTAGAGCTATCTAGCTGAGGTGCTTTTTAGTGCTTTCGTTTTTTTTTTTAATACTTCCTCATTTTCGGATAATGACTGATATTCATTCAAATTTTCTTTCTGACATAATCAAAGTAAATTGAATGTCAAAAATTAATAAATATTATATCGTTTCGTGTGTCTTATAATATCTAATCTTCAAATAAATTTTGATTTATTTGACTGCAAGTTTAAATTATTCGTCGTTCCATTTATAACAACGAATAATTTAAACCTGCATTCGACGTCCCATCGTCGCCATACGAGTTTAACAGCAATAGTATAATAACTATTTCGTGTTTTTGTGATTTTGAAAGTGTTCCTCTGTTTGTTTCGAACAGACGCTTTTGTCGATTGTAGAGTTTTCATTAAGACAAAATGAATTACGAAGATAAGATTAAAATTTTTCCTTATTATTTATCTTTTCTTTGAGCAAAGTAAAAGTATAGGCAATCAAATACCATTTTGCGGGACTTTTGCACCACTTTATATGTAAAAAATTCCTGAGATCGAAATTCGCTCAGAAAGTATGTTCAATGCTACGCCTTTATCCTTTTCCCCAATGTTTCATTTTGTAAATTAAAATTTCCCGATTTTCCATCACATTCTGGTATATCACTTATGCCCTAGAAACCTCAAAATAATACTAGAAATAGTCATCCATAATAGTCATAATGATTACCAGATATTATTTCTTAACAGACTTCAAAAAGGAGGCTATCAATACGAGGTATACGTATGTAATTTCGTTGGAATGGCGTAATATTCATAAATGTTGGTCTCTATGAGCTTCTAAACATGTGCTAAATTTCATAGGTGTATGTTTGTCCACATATCTCTCGCAAACTTAATATCGGTTTGCAATTATTCATTTTTTGTTTAATGGCTTAGACTTCAACTTGGGAAACGCTTCAAGGTTCAGTAGTTTTGAAAATATGAACTACTAGTGGACGCCCGCGACTTCGTCCGCGTGGAAGTCGGTATCCCGTGGGAGTGAGAAGTTTTCCCAGTAAAAAGTACCCTATGTGTTATTCTGATGTATAACCTATATTGCTGTAAAGTTTTATCCAAATCCGTCCAGTAGTTTTTTCGTGAAAGAGTAACAAACATCCATACATCCATACTTACAAACTTTCGCCTTTATAATATTAATAGGATTGAAATTCAATCGACTTGTACTTTTTATAATTCGGTTTTATATTAATAGAGTAAAAATTGATTATCAATTTACCTGTATGAAAAGAAGGTTATCAAGTTACCTGTATGTCATGTCTGTCATTAGTCTATTTTAAAAACAGGCCATGAATATGACCCTTATGTTTTAAACAAACTTTAAAAGAAATTAGCTTATCTGTTTGACTAAGTTATTAACTTATATAGCTTACAGTATAGAGAGTAATACAAGGTTATACTTTTTCATATATATTTATAAAAAAGCACCGTCTGTAAAACATACAAAATTTCGATAAAAATGGTTTATTGGCATCGACAGCATAATTAATAATTACTATAAAATTGAAAAATTATATTATTGGCGTGTATACAATACAAAATATTATTGTTATGCACATCGATTACATTATTATTTTGTCATTTCTGTCAAACAATTATTTAAACCAGACCAATTCTTACTTTGCATTATATGGTTGAGCAAGTTGTATAATAGTATTATGTTCGATGATATTTTAGTAATTTCTAAGTCCACATAATATAAAAAAATACTACATTTACATAGAAATTAAGGCCTGCAATTTAATTTAGGACCAAACAAGTATTGGTAACTACACTCCTAATTTATTGACCAGATGCATCACCTTCTTAATACCACTTGGATGCGTAAATCTCATGAATACTTATCATACCTCAACTAAAAGAGAGCACCAGCACACACTATATAAAAGTAAATAAATACTCTTTATTGTAGTGCAGTACCCTCGACTTAAATAAATCAGTACTGGACATTATTAGTTAATTATCCATTTCAATACGAAATAAATTATAATATGCTCATAAAATACACTTATTTAAAATATATACCGTAAAAGTGACATAGAAATTTTGGTTCCTATAAACTAATGATAATGAACAGTTCACGAAGTAAACATTGTATTTGTATGATCCTTCAGACTCTTTTATTATTATTTAAAAAACAAAGCGACTTCGCGAACTGTCTTGTTACATAACTTACATCGAGTTTTTAAAATACGGCGATACTAGCGAAATATAGTTGCGAGAATTGAATGGATAGAGCCGTTCAAGCGGTTTTCTCCTGTTCGATGATATCCTTCGTTGGCAGGGGGTTCTTCTCACAAGTCTCTGTGTGTTTCAGCTTGGTGGGGTCGAAGTTTTCAATACCGTTCAAGAATTTGTTCTTTTCTTTTTCCGCTTCAATAGCTGTCGGAATACAGAAAAGCTTATGTTAATCAAACATGAGCATTGGAATATGACAATAAATAACTAAATGAAAATAAATTATACATAAAATCAACAGTACGTCAGGTTTTACAAAAACCTTTATTGGTGGGGGGTTAGGTTTAAATTCAATTGCAGAATCTGATTGTTGTTTGTTAAGCCGATATGCTGCTTTTGTAATATTATATAAAAAACAAAAACTCTACAATTACCTACTTTGTGATTGAGTTATGTATTTATGCCACAGACATCTCAGATTTTATACTAATTTTTTATTTTATATATAATTCACTATATAATTATGAATTTAAAATTTTGTGTTGGCTGTAAATTGTAGTTAACAGTAGTTGGCTTATACGTATTATAATTTAATGTTGAAATTTCGTCATCTGTGAACTTTTTTTTACAGTAACGGCATATTGGGATAATAAAGTTGTGATTCATAATCACAATATATAGTTTGGTAGATCGAAAGCCGAAGCATAAAATACATATTAATCGTAAATATATATAAAAACAATAGAAGCAAGCTCAAATAAACCTTCTATAGGCGGCAGAGGATTCTTTTCTTCTGTGGTCGCATGTTTCATCTGACTCTTGTCAAAGTGTTCCACCCCATCTAGAAGATTCTGGTGTGCCTTCTCTGCAGCGACAACTGATATAAAGCAGAATCGTGCAAGAAACACATAAATAAAAAAGCTTTAAAATTAAACACAGTTACGGCCTAAAACTTACGAATGCATTTCATATTTATAAAGACGTAAATACATTTACATGCTGTGATAAAAATGCAAGATGCAGTGTTAAGCGGCTTCCAATTAGCGAAGAGATTGTAGTTATTCCGATAGGTATCACTTTTGAAAAATAATCTTGGTCGCGAGAGAAAAATTTTCTTATTTATCATCATATTTTACATAAAATTTTGAAAATAATTTACACCACAAAAAATGCGTAGGCACCTTCAGTAGGCACATAAGTAAGGGTGTGCTTTTATTCAGCTAAATTATAATAAATTAACTGGCCAAAATAAATCAGTTATGGCAAAACTAAGTAATAACAATCAAATACTTATAAATCGTTTCTGAGAAAAACAAAACTGAAGTTAAAAAGATAGATAAACATTGAATAGGCATATCATGTGCTTGTAATAAGTAGATAACACCAAATACAGTCAAGATCAAATAGTGCTAACGATACAAAAAAGGTAACTTGCATTCTAAAAGCCGTGCATTTAAGTGACAATGACAGGAAGTTTTTTTTTACCATCTTTGTCGGGAAGCGGATTCTTTTCCTGTGTTTCCGTGTGTTTCAACCTGCTAGCGTCGAACTTTTCAATTCCATCGAATAGGGATTTTTGAGTTTTTTCTGTGGCAACATCTGAAAACCATAGAGATCAAAATTAGTTTATTTTAAATAAATGGCGCGAAGGCAAAATTTTTAGTTTTTTTTTATGTAAAAATGGCTGAACATGCTTGGATTTTCGATACAGGCTAAGTTGTAATTAAAAGTCTTATTAGTGATAATAATTAATTATTCGAGAAAATCACAACGTTAGCAAATTTAATGTATATTTATTTGTAAAAAATAAGTTTTGTATGTATTAAAAATATGTTAATAAGTATTATAAAAAAACACGATATATCATCATGATGACCACTAAGGGGTCATCCATAAATTACGATACACGAATTTCATATTTTTTTCCCCACCCCCGTCCATGTCATAGCATCACATTTGTGCGACTGTACGACACTGTACGTTTCATATAGTTTAAGGTAAGATTACCTAAATCTTTTTTTGATTCTATTTAAACTTGTTTGAATAGAAAATAGCAGAATTAAAAACGAAAGAATGAAAGAACGACGTTGTTTCATCCGCGAAAATCAGTGGTCAAATGAAGTAGAAACAAAGAAATCATCGCCAGGCGTAATGCGTTTGAGGGCATTTATCAAAAGGCGCCTAGGCTGCCGGCGCGTAATATACTTATACACTAGTAGAACGAGTGGTCGACAAATATATTTACACAGATATAGTTGTATATGTTTTTGAGGTTTTCGTAAAGTAACAGTTTTATGTTTGTGTTCAGTTTATAATAGATTTTGAAATGTGACGTCATGAAATTTAGGACAACCTCCCACCCCCCTTGTCACACAATAACACACTCGACGTGTGACGTAATTTATGGATGGCCCTCGATTTCCTCTAATTATAATACTACTCTTTGCCTAATCTTTTTCATTATTTCATTAAATGCATCCAATGTTGTTTTTACAATTAATCACATTACAAAATATTGGTCAAAGTTTTATTTCAACCAACCAACCTGGTGTAAGCTTTAATCTTATCCGTTTCGCTTGTTTTTTGGTTGAGGGAACAAACTTATAGTTTGTAGGTACTATAACTAGTGAAACTTGTGTTAAACCACTCTCCGTAGCAATGTAAACAAAGGTTAATAATGCGTTAAGTATTTGTCCACCCTTAGAAATACCTATGGCATTTGGGAGTACAATTTTTTCAATGGTGTCCGTTCGCCTGAGTGAAGACATTTGGAATCGTTCAACGCCTTGAAGAAGTGCCGTGTGTTGTTTTTCTTTCGCTACGTCTGGTAAGAGATTTAAAGTTTCTTCTTACTCTATATTCTCATCATATTCTGTTAGCTGTAGTGTTCTTTTAACTTTGTTTTCTATTTAAATGTAAACGGTCATTGAAATCTTTTTATTTTTGAATGAACATAATATTTTCTTATAGACTTAATAAAATGTTGACGTGTAATGTTTTCTGCTAATGTTAATACTGTTACATTAAATAGATGTTAAAGTGAAAACGAGTCACAAATACTGTATACAAGGTGTGATATTATTAAGTTTATATCAAACCAATTATAATAATTCTCCTCATGATTTTTAATATAATAAGACTAAAATTAACTAATGTTAACTATATTTTTCTCTTTTTAAATTTGATTAATTTGTTTTAGTCTATATTAATAAATATCAGGAATTAATATATTAACAGATACATTGCTCTGATACCTTGGTAAGGAAAGCTGGTTTGATATGTTATCTATACTGACCTAATTTGAAATTGAAGTTCAGTCCATCATGCTAGCTTCTTAGCGATCAGGTAGTTAATTTTATTATAATTTATGTTGTATTAAAACTCACCTTCAGCTGAAGGCAAAACAATCTTCTCATTTGTATCCACATCCTTCAGGCAGCTAGTGTTGAATCCCTCCAGCTGGCTTTTGAGATCAGTCGCCACCTTGGGCAGGTCCTTGAGGGAAGGCGCGTCTACTGAGCAGGCCATAATTTATTATACTAGAAAAGAAAAATAACATTTCTTTTAGTATTATGATATTATTGTATATTGTAATCATTTATCCCGTTTCTAGTTTTTCCTTGTTAAGCTATTTCTTTATTTTTTATTATTATAAGGAAAAACTGAATATAACAAACAGCCTTATATTACAGTTTTAACCTTGTCACTCTATGACCTATGAGGGAAACTGTTTCTTTCCCATTCCTTTATAAATTCTTAGACCAAAACGAATAAAAAGATTTTTTGTCCTACACGCACTCTTAACAAATGCCGCGCTGCGATGACCTAGGACTCGGAAGACCGTTATATTCTATTTTTACTCAACAGAATTATCTTATTTGAAGCGTGTATAGTAGGTATCATAATAGAGGAACTTGTACAAAAAAAAATGTGCAAGTTTTCTAAGGTTGATACCCAATATATGAAAGTACTAAGGGTAAGTACTCATACTTTACTCGGTAAGGTCAAGTGCTGGAACACCTGGTGGTGACACAATATGAAGTACGTAAACTTAAGAGTTAAACCTCCAGAACACAATATTATTGAAGTCTTATGTAGGTTCACGAGTGATGGGATTGGCCAAATAATAATGGAAAACTGCTTTATTCGTTACAATTACAAAGCGTTCACAAAAGGCGTTGACTCAGCCGGTACCAGGGCGTCACACGTAACGGATTCCATGATGATGATACATCGGCTAAGTATCGAAGTTAGCTCACCAAATCAACCGTAGCGTGCCCACACCACACCTAACTAGATCTAAACAATGAAACTTACATGTCAAATTGCTCTCGCTTCATTAGCATTTAAAATGACAAAATTGCCTTCTAATATGCGGGTAAACCGAATTATATACACATCTGAAATTATAAACGTCTAGAACCTTCTATCAACGTCTATCTAACGAGACGTGTTGAAATTTAATATTTATTTATTCAATTTTTTTTATGATTATGAAAATTTTGAATGTTATCAGATGAATTTCTCAAACTTCTCTAACAGTAGGTAGCGTTTACGGCGGTAACAGTTAGCTGGCTTCGTTTACATTTACTTGTGCTCTGCTGTTTGCATTCTGGGTTAATAACAGTACACCCGTGTTATTAGATTTTCATACATACCTACTGTTTAAGTGATTCTTCTATGATTGATATGAAGTGCGAGTACATATTTTGAAAAGCTAGACAATGAGTTGTTTGCTTTCTGTTAGTTTACTGTTCCTTCATGTCTGTGGATGGAATTCGGTGATTCTTAGTATTTATGACTCTATACTAATACCTATGTCTATACTAATATTATAAAGAGGAAAGATTTGTTTGTTTGTTTACAACGAATAAGCTCCAAAACTACTGGACCGATTTTCAAAATACTTTCATCTACCTACGGGAATCGGGAATCCGATACGAATCGAAATTCAAATAAACGAAGCCGGTGATTGAAAATTAGTCTTAAATAAAAATTATTACATTATGTATCGATCCAGGTCAAAAAAACAATTAATATTAAATTAAAATTTATTTAAAAATTATTGGATTCTCCCGTATGCCAATGTAGATGGCGCAGCATACGTGACTGTTATGCATCAAGAATACGAAATACAACGGTCATTGTTGTCGCGACATGTCGGGTATACTAAACTGCCCCACATCCTGCCAGTATCTTACTGTCTTTTGTATCACAGAGGATGTTAAGGAACGTCGAAGGAAGATTGTCCAAAACAATCGAGAAACCTACACGGCGCTTTTACTTAAACCGTACATTGAGAAACCTTCATTGACTATAACAAGATCTCAAGAAATTAAGCTATAACAGTGAAATCGGTTCTACTTTTTATAAAAGTTTTTTTTACGCGAATTATTATTCTGCTGCATAAATTCTCTCGATCCAATTAAAGAATATTGAAAATCATTTTGAAGAGCTCCCATTTTACTTATATAATACGGCAAGACAGAGGACGGCAGAGTCGTTACATCCCGTCCTGAGCTTGTGGCGGAGATCGAACGCTTCTATGGACAGTTATACACAACATCACAGAAACCTGTCATTGAGGCTACAGACCCTAGAGCCAAATTAACCCGACATTATACCGAAGACATCCCGGACGTCAGTCTATACGAGATTAGTGTGGCTCTCAAACAGCTCAAGAACAACAAGGCGCCGGGGTATGATGGAATCACAGCGGAACTTCTGAAAGCGGGTGGACTACCAGTCCGGAAAGCGCTTCAGAAGCTATTTAATTCCGCCATACTCGAGGGCAAGACGCCAGAAGCATGGCACAGGGGCGTGGTGGTGCTTTTCTTCAAAAAGGGCGACAGGGCCCAATTGAGGAATTACAGACCCATCACACTTCTGAGTCATGTGTACAAGCTGTTTTCGAGAGTCATCACGAATCGTCTCGCACGTAGATTTGACGACTTCCATCCTCCTGAACAAGCCGGTTTCCGAAAAGGTTACAGTACCATAGACCACATTCATACGCTGCGACAGGTTATACAGAAGACCGAAGAGTATAATCTGCCACTATGCTTGGCGTTTGTGGACTATGAGAAAGCCTTCGACTCCGTCGAGACCTGGGCCGTGCTTAGGTCACTCCAGAGGTGCCAAATAGACTATCGATACATCCAAGTGCTGCAGTCACTGTACGAAAATGCCACCATGTCAGTTCGGCTCCAGGACCAAAACTCGAAAGCAATACGACTTCAGCGTGGAGTGAGACAGGGCGACGTTATATCGCCGAAACTGTTCACTGCCGCACTGGAGGACGTGTTTAAGCTTTTGGACTGGAGAGGACTTGGCATCAATATAAACGGCGAGTACATGACGCACCTTCGTTTCGCTGATGATATCGTAGTCATGGCTGAGACCATGGAAGATCTAGGCACAATGCTCGAAGACCTCTGTAGAGTTTCCCAGCAAGTGGGTCTTAAAATGAACATGGAGAAGACAAAAATAATGTCAAACTCCCATGTCGTACCCACTCCAGTGAATGTTGGAGGCTCTACACTGGAAGCTGTCGACGAGTACCTTTACCTGGGACAAATAGTCCGATTAGGTAAGTCCAACTTCCAGAGAGAGGTAAGTCGACGGATCCAACTCGGCTGGGCAGCGTTCGGGAAGCTACGCAGTGTATTCTCGGAACATCTACCGCAGTGTCTCAAGACAAAAGTCTTTAATTCGTGCGTGTTGCCAGTGATGACTTACGGTGCTGAGACGTGGCCGCTTACGATGGGCCTCATAAGGAAGCTCAAGGTCGCTCAGAGGGCAATGGAAAGGGCTATGCTCGGGGTTTCTTTGCGAGATCGAATTAGAAATGATGAGATCCGCAGAAGAACTAAAGTCACCGACATAGCCCACAGAATTGCAAACCTCAAGTGGCAGTGGGCAGGGCACATCGCTCGCAGGACTGACGGCCGTTGGGGCGGTAAGGTCCTGGAGTGGCGACCGCGTACCGGGAGACGCAGTGTTGGCAGGCCCCCCACAAGGTGGACCGACGATCTGGTGAAGGTCGCGGGAAGCCGCTGGATGCGGGAAGCGCAGGACCGATCGTTTTGGAGATCTTTGGGGGAGGCCTATGCCCAGCAGTGGGCGTCTCTCGGCTGAAATGATGATGATGAATACGGCAAGCCTTGGCAGTTCCTAATTGGACTGACAAATAAATCCCAAGTGTAGGGGAAAGAATAACGAGAAAAATCTATTCAAAAAATTGGAGATTGAAAGAAATCCAAAAAAATGAAAATGAGAAGAAATTATTCCTGCACTTTCGGATTTCCTGACCAAATTTTTTGTTTCGGAAATCTTTAATTATTTCTTTCCAAATGTAATTTATCAACAAACACTAAGGATTATTTAACTATCAAACAATGACGAGTTAACAAATCAGGTGGAATAATTGACTAAAGCATTAAACAATACCTACTCACGTTCAAAAACCTACAGCTCGTGGACCCATTAGTAAATGAGTCAAAACATAATTGTTTGTACTCGATAACAGTGAACTAATAATCCCAGCTATTTTCCCTTCGTAGCTGTTTCATGAAAACATTTCTCTGATGTGTCACTCATGATTCATTTATGAGCCGCAACTGTTAAATAGTTATCTTTCCTAATTTGCATGTAATATAACTGAATATAGTTGAAAAACTGTCATTTTATTAGAACGATTATATCTGTTGACCATATGATTGATGCAATGTTGAACTTAGTTGATAAAATCAACGTACTACCTAATAAAGAAGACAATAATCCAGTTATGTTTAATGTCGGTGTCATGGCTCCTTTTCAAGCCTTATATGGCTTAAGAACCGAACGGGAACGACAAGTACAAAAACGAGTCTTAATTCGTGGCGCCGTAAAAAATGTGTCCCGCCGGCACGCACCATATGGTTGAGCTAAATGACCCTAAAGTCTTTTAAAAAAAATATTAAAGTTTACTTATCGGGTAGTTAGAGAAAGGCAAGATTCCATAACATATATTTTTGCAAATTCTCGTCTCTACTTTGATTTCTAATGAAGCTTTTTAGATTACTCAGCAAATATTCTGTTCTCACACAATCCGTAACGCTGTCTTCGAGTATATCGTGAGTGACAATTGTTATGCAAACCCGATTCGTGATTAAGTAACGGCCGGCGAAATTCGAGTTGCGAAAAAAATATTGTTGAATCGATCTTCGGCCTGCGACGCGTCTGAGAGGGGAGGCGAGCAGTGAACCGATGAGTCAGAGGAGCCACGTTACTGTCGACATTTTACACCGTAGAAAGTTTTACTTATAAAATTTCACCGTAAGCGGAACGCGTGCTGTTTTTGCCGGTTCACTTCTATTGCCCACTCATTATAGTTAATTCAAAATTATCAAAAAAAAATACTGTATGTTGATGATCCAACTTATCCGCGCCGACTACATTTGCTCGTTGAGATCGTTGATCAATGGCATAAACAACAGCACTTTTACTAGGTATATATTTAGGAACTTAATTTTTTTAATACTTGCATCATTGTTATCCT